TGGGTGTGTTATCCACGAGGTACACAATGAAATCATCACCAAAGGACTTTGCAGTCCTCTGTCTCTTACTCCTTACAGGAGTTCCATTGTCACCCTCAACAGGATTCTCAACGTGTTCCATCGCAATGGTGGGTTCAGGAATTACAGTGAATTCCTCACTAGATGGAGTAGGTATCTCCTGATTTGATGAACTCGACATATCCTTCATAGGAAATATGTCCTCAAAGAAAGTTGCATCATTCGACTCCATAATCGTACCAACATGCATATCGAATACCTCGGATTTTATTATCAAAAATCTATAGCCGATGCTATGAAAAGCATAGCCCAGAAGAACACAATCCACGGTTTTTGGTCCAAGCTTGCGCTTCTTGGGAATTGGTATATTGACTTTCGCCAAACAACCCCAAGTACATAGGTAAGAGAGTTTCAACCTTTTCCTTTCCCATTCCTCAAATGGAGTCATGGTCTTATGCTTTGTGGGAACTCGGTTTAGGACATGACACGCAGTCATTAGCGTCTCCCCCCCACCATTCCTTGGATAGACCCGAAGTGTCTAACATGGTGTTAACCATATTAGTTAGAGTTCGGTTCTTTCTTTCGGCTACCCCATTTGACTGGGGTGAGTAGGGAGGCGTCCTCTGATGGATTATACCATGTTCCGCACAAAACAGATCAAATTCATTGGAAAAATACTCTCCACCACGATCGGACCTAAGCCGTTTAATTTTTTGATCAAGTTGGTTCTCTGCCTCAGCTTTATAGTTCTTGAAGAAAGTCAAAGTCTCATCTTTTGATTTTAGAAGATACACATAACAATATTTAATGGAGTCATCAATCAACGTCATGAAGTATCTCTTTCCACCTTTTGTCAACACGCCATTCATCTCACAAAGATCAGAATGTATAAGCTCTAGTGGCGCCAAGTCTCTTACCTCTGTAGTCTTATGGGACTTGCGAGGTTGCTTAGCTTACACACATACTTGGCACTTAGAGCCTTTGACAGTAGAGATTTTCGGAATTAAATTCATATTGGCTAGACGTGTCATGCAACCAAAGTTAATGTGACAAAGTCGTGAATGTCAAATGTCAGACTCATTGTTGTGCCAAATATTATTAATAACTTTAGTGCAAATATCTGACAAAGACAGGCGGAACAAGCCTCCGTTCTCATAGCCTTTTTCAACAAATTGTCCATAATTAGAAATTACAACTTTATTGGATTCGAAAACCAACTTAAAACCATCTCGACATAAACAGGAACCGCTAACGAGATTTTTATTGATGGACGACACATGATGAACGTTCTTCAGATGCACGGTCTTCCCCGAAGTAAACTTCAGATCGACCGTACCAACACCTCGAACGATGGCATGTGACCCGTTCCCCATCAGCACGGGAGAAGTCCCAGTGGCCTGGTAAGAAGAAAACATGGAGGCGTCAGCACAAACATGTACATTGGCACCGGTGTCAATTAACCAATCAGGGGTTTGGAGTACTGAAAGGATGGTAGGAAAAATACCGTACCCTGATTCCTTCATATCAGTATCACCGATGACAACATTAGCGGACTTGCCGCTCTTCTCATGTTCGCGCTCCTCAAAGCGGTTAGGACACTTCGGAGCCCAGTGATTAGGATCACCGCAGACATGACAAAGTCCCTTCCCCTTCTTATGAGAATTCTTCTTGAAGTTGGTAGAATGTGATGGCTTGTTCTTTGTATCAAACTTGCCTTTGCCCTGAGTTTTGTTCTTGTTGTTTTTGAACTTGTTGGGCTGGAAGTTCTTCTTCTGTACCATGTGGGCACTAGAACCTCCCTCAGCTACTCGAGCACGTGTGTCCTTTGCTCTCGCCTTCTTTTCAACATCAAGAGTACCAATGAGATCCGCAATGGAAAACTCCCGTCTCTTATGTTTCAGGGTAGTAGCAAAATTGTTCCACGAAGGTGGAAGCTTGGCAATGATGCCTCCGGCAACACACACTTGAAGTACTCAAGTTCTTTTGCGAGCAACTGTATCTCATGAGCCTGCTGTACAACAGGGCGCTCATCAGTCATCTTGTAGTCATAGAATTGCTCCATGACGTACAACTCGCTGCCGGCGTCCGAGGCACCAAACTTGGCCTCGAGCGCAGCCCACATGTCCTTGCCGTTGTCAAACGACATATACGAATCCACAATGGAGTCACCAAGAACACTCAGAAGAGTGCCTTTAAAGAGGGTATCGATCTTCTCGAAAGCTTTCAGCTGTGTTGGATTAAGATCGCCCTCAGGCTTGCCCTTGGTGGCGTCATAGCAGCCCATGGTCTGAAACCAGTAGACTGCTCTCATGCGCGACCTCTTATATTGCGCCCCCTTAAAGGCAGGCGGCTTCAGATGCGCAACAAAATCACTCGAAGTAAATTGGCTATAATCAGGTTTTTGGATTGTCGAAAAAAATGAGCAAATTACTACGAGATTTAATCCGAATAAATAGGAAATAGATCATGACAGCAATAGCAGAGATTAAACTAATCATGCGAACTAGCATAGTAGATGAACAGATCACATCTAGGGCACATACTAGAAACATGAATTCTACCACGATCTCGAACAAGAAGGATAGAATAACATACGGTGCAGCGGGTGCAGCACCGCCGGCGTTGACGTTGTCGCCCATGTCGTCGAGGATGAGGTTGCCAAGGTCGGGGAAGAAGTCGTCATTCGCGAAGTCGTCGCTCGAGTGTGCTTCCCAAAAACCTGATCGCCCCTCTCCCGTACAGGATCACGAGAGGCGGGGTTCCGGAGGCCTGTTGTCCCTTCTCCCGGTGCACACCGATGAAGAAGACTTACTTGGCGGCGCAATGATTTGGAACGGTGGCGAGAAACCATACGAAGCGGTCGTGGCTAAGGTAGACGTCTGCCTGACTATATAGTGCGGGCCGGGTAGGTCGTGGGAGTAAACCCCACGTCCGAGTCGTCACGATCCAAAAGAATCAGAAATGGTTCAGTAATTAACGCGTTCATTAATTATTAATTAATGACTCATTAATTTTTCCCGAGCAGCAAAAATATAGACAACGTGCATAGCTCTGTCCTCGGCTCGGCTCAATCCCGCAACCCGCGGCGCGTCGTGACGAGGCATGGCGAGGCGAGCGAGGAGGAGGAGCGCGCGTGTAGGTCTCCTCTTCTCATACTCATACAAGTGGTAGAAGAGCTCATCTTATAAAGAGGTGCAACTCTCTCTCAACTTCCGGGGTGGGACTAAATTTTAGTCTCACTCACTCCACTCACATGTGTGCGTGAATGGGCCAAGAGAATTTCAGAATTTTAGTTGGGCTTTGGGCCAAAGGCCTACTAGCAAAATTCCAACAATCCCCCACAAAGTCTCATTGGCACATCTCATCATTTAGTTCCAAAACATTGTTTATATACCGGTGCTTAGTGGAGACTGTGAAGTTGAACTTCCACTTAGAGATTTATGCTACACTAGATCACAACTTGAATAGTGGACTATGCCTTGAACTACAAGTTTTCTGCGAGACTACTTTCACACAAATTCTTGACCGATACTGGGCTGCCGCAAGGCTTCCCCGTGGGTGGAGCGTATACGTCGTACTCCAGGGCCTTTTCATGAATTTATTAGAGAACACCCAATTCTCACAGACTGCGACGTTAACAGTCAAATTCATATAGGTGTGTTCCTTAGAAGATGTTCTGCAGGACAATATCTCTGCTTACCCGAATAAGCCACTTGGGACACATTAAGATAAGTATCAACCTGCAGAGAGTATTGCATCTTCATGAAGTTTGTGTGACTTAAGAGTTTCGCCATGGGGAAGACTTGCTTGGCGGCGCAATGATCTGAAACAGCGGTGAAGACTCCCGTACAGGATCTGGAACGCCGAAAGGAGGGATGGAGAAGACTCCCGTTCCTTAATTATTAATTAATGACTCATTAATTTTTTCACGAGCAGCAAAAACATAGACAACGTGCATAGCTCTGTCCTCGGCTCGGCTCAATCCCGCAACCCGCGGCGCGTCGTGACGAGGCATGGCGAGGCGAGCAAGGAGGAGGAGCGCTCGTGTAGGTCTCCTCTTCTCATGCTCATACAAGTGGTAGAAGAGCTCACTTTATAAAGAGGTGCAACTCTCTCTCAACTTCCAGGGTGGGACTAAACTTTAGTCTCACTCACTCCACTCACATGTGTGCATGAATGGGCCAAAAAAATTTCAGAATTTTAGTTGGGCTTTGGGCCAAAGGCCTACTAGCAAAATTCCAACTATCACAACTGGCATGTGGACAATGGACAATGTTGGTTGATGTTTTTTTTTGTAGTGAGATGAAAGTTTGTGTGACTTAAGATTTTCGATCCAGTAGTGTATCACTATAGTCCACCTACATGGCGAAGTGGTAGTTTCTTCACATGTGGCCTAAGGTCCTGCGCTCGAACGAGACTCCTTGTAGATTTTTATTTTGACATCAAGATACGTTCTTTGCAGAATTATATTATTATAAAAAAGTAAACGATCTAGAATTTCATTTCTCTAGCACCCCACCTGGTGTGGGAGTTTTCAGGGCATAGTGTATCAAAAAAAAATTGTTGAGAAAACATAGTGTGTATCATTTTCTTTTTTGAGACAAGTGTATCAAATGTTCTACACCGTTTTCTTTTCTTTTAGTGGACCAAATGCTTTACACCTCTGCCGCTCCAGCCCACGAGTCCACAGATATGAACAAGAGAGTAAACAAGACTCATTTCGGCCTAACAGGAGCCAGCCCAGCCCTTCCTTTCATAAGCCAGTAGCACATAGTGGGCCAAAATGCAGGCACGAAAGCTTTGGGCCCGGTCCATCGTTCTGCGCGTAAGTAAGCCGTCCATTCCTCCTCCACCCTACTGGTCTCCTCTGGAACCTTCCCCTTCCTTCCGCCCCAACCGAAACCACCCTACAAACCTCCTCGCACGAGCCAAACTCAGCCTCCCCCCACCCGAAGGCACGAGAAACAGAGAGAGCTCCGGAGATGTCGGCGGACGAGTTGCGGCTGGACCTGGAGGAGCTGCTGCGGCTGGAGGGCCTCGCCAAGCGCCCCCGCGTCGTCTCCCTCCTCTCCAACGAGATCCGCAGCGTCGACGCCAAGGTTTGCCTTTCCTTCTCCCACCGTCCCTGCGCTCTCCGCCGATCGATTCATTCCGGCGGGCTGGGCGGGCTCGGATTTTCGCATTGAGCTGATGTTCCTCTGTTTGCTGGCAGCTGGCCTCGCGGGCTGCGCCTGTGCCTGTGCCGACGCCCGCGCCGCAGGCGGTCGCGGTCGCGGCGGCGGCCCCTGCTGGTCTGAGCTATGTCACGCTGGGGTCATTCAGCTGGGACCAGGACAATGAGAAGATCAGGGTACGTTGCTGCGAGAAAGGGGTCATTTTTTTAACGATTCTAGCTCGTTGGCGATACTGATGTGCTGATTAGTTGATCTTATCTCGTTGTGCTTTAGACTTACAACCATATGGGCTCAGTGGCAAATGCTGGTTCGTAAAACAATCGCACTGTCAGAACAAAATGTTTGGCTGCTGCCAACTTATTCAATTGTTGCACGATCGATTGACTGGTAAACTAATGAAACAGTAATGATTAAGGATGCAATATATCTTCATCATGAGTTGTTGACTCGATGGAGGTCCCAGAATACAGAATATTATTGCACGCCTATTTTTCCTCAAGAACACTTCGATAGGGCTATCTCTGTAACTAAATATTGCAGTTTAATTTAAACTGCAAAAACGTCTTATATTAAGTTACGGAGGTACTAGTACATTTATTAAGCCATTTCTTGTATAGCCACTGAACAAATTTATCCTGTTATAATGCCCCTTTCCTTCTTACTACCACACGGGTTCTTGACAGTAATTGCAAACACAAGAACAGCTTATGGCATTTTGCTTGGTAGCTAGAACCCAAATTTATTGTATCTTGGTAATTTTGCATAATAGGTTAGAATTAGTTCTGTACTTCTGTTATTCATAGTAGGGCTGACTACTTGACTGGCGAAAAGTCTGCTTGTCATTATGCTAGAACCCAAGTTTATTGTCTTCTGCTTTGTATTAGTGAACTGAATTCCCATGACATTTGGATTTGAGGATTTCCCATGATGGCATTTAGATAACAGTTTTACTCTGTGTTCTGCCTTTTCAGGTCTACGTATTCCTTGAGAATGTCGACCAAGAGAAGGTGGAGACTACTTTCAAGCCAATGTCAGCGGACATCAAGTTTCATGATGTTAAAGGCAAGAACTATAGGTGTGCCATCCCAAAACTGAACAAAGAAATAGTTCCTGAGAAATGCAAGGTTGTGGTCAAGCCTACGAAGATTGTCATCACCCTGTGGAAAGCTTCTTCCGGCAATTGGTTGGATCTACACTACAAGGAAGACAAGGTAATTTCTGTGCCCAGCTATTCCTTGCTTTGGCCTCTCGACTTCCCTGAAAAAAAAATTAGGACTTAATTTCCCACAAACAAATAATATTAACCATAGTTCCCATGGGCGCTGGATTCTCCTGGGTGAATAATTTTTTGGGATGAATAATTTGTGGTAGTGATAATCTCTCAAGTGATCACCAGAAAATATATTGGAAGCATTCAGTTATGTAGGAACCTGATGCAATGGTTATCCAAGATTTGTTGTCTCCTGCATGTTAATACATTATACTGCTGTTGTGAGTGTTAGCATCCCTGAGGAGAGGTCGGGCAACAAAGACTTGTGAATTACAACAGCGCTAGATGGAGGGGACAAACCAGCTGGGAGAGAAATATATCTAGTGTAGTAGGATTTCAGAGTGATCAGAGCTGGAATTTAGGAACTGAGAGCGTTGTTTAGTTGTTGCTTGATCAAAAGATTACATGGCCACCTGGCCAGACCTTTGGGCATCACTGTGCTCTACTGATTCATCAGAAGCACCAATCTGCTGGCATGCTTTTGCTGCCATGAGAGCAATGATATGGTTAGTTGATTCAAAATACAGCTAATGTGTTCAACTACGCCACTACTATTCCTGGCCTTCCAGGTTATGAAGTACTATTGTTTGTTTCGTGCTGTTCCTGCGCATACCATTCCCATTTCCTCTCAGCTTTCATAATTGTGCAAAAGGAGTCTGTTTAGAAGGCTTTCGAGTCGGAAGCAAGGAAGTCACAGGCCTGCTTTCCTGGTTAAGGAAAACTGTCTGGAAAAGAAAATAGTTGTTGCCCCAAGGTTGGGGAAACAGGGCAAGTGAATACTAGGAAGCAAGTCGGTCTGAAAACTATAGTTAAAAAAGGCGCGCCTAAGCGAGCGCTTAAGTGCGCCTAGGCTCTAGGCGATAGCAAAACGCCTAGCGCATAACTGTGCTTAATCTGCGCATAAGTATGCGCTTTGATCAGAAAAGCGCAAGGCGGTGGCAAAACACACAATTAACGCCTAGCGCGTTTTTGAACTATGCTGAAAACCAGGAAGAAGGGCTGCTGAGGAGGTTATAGAGTTGAAGAGTGATCCATATGTCTGTTTGGCAACTTTGCTAGCCATTGAAAGTAAAATAGCTCAAAGAGTCTTGTGAAAGCAGGATTTGCTCATCTCAGTGAAAATCGTAAAACATGCTTTTGATGTTACTGCTACTGCTCATAGATAGACTAACTAATTTTATTTTGGTGACAGTTTAAGCCAAGCATGGACAAAGAGAAGGATCCCATGTCAGGAATTATGGATTTAATGAAGGTAAACACTCGTTCGGCCTCATGAACTCGAGCGATTTGTGCTGGCATTCGCGATCTGGCTTACATGAGCTATTTCTTTTTTTGACATGTAGGGCATGTATGAGGAAGGTGATGAAGATATGAAGCGCACAATAGCCAAAGCGTGGTCTGACGCCAGGTCTGGGAAGACGGCTGATCCAATGAAGGGATTGCCTTGAGCTGGTGGTAGTTTTGGTTCCGAGAGCTGCTATATGTGCTGAGCTAGTCCGTACATTCAGTGTGGTTTACTAGAGTAGTGTCATGAGTATCCGCATCGCATGTGTGAGATCGATACCTGTCTGATGATGATGGGAATGCTCGTTTTCCTCCGGTGTTTGATTGGCCTAATTTGCACTGCATCGCATGTGTGAAATCGATTACCTGTCTGATGATGATGGGAATGCTCGTTTTCCTCGGGTGTTTGATTGGCCTAATTTGCACATTCTTGCATTTGAACTGAGAAAAGATGAATGCATATGCTTGTGCTATGAGAAAGAGAATGTGTATTTGTGGGATTCACTCGTTATTTTGTTGTAGTCGTTTGTGGCATAACTTCTGTTGGCTAAAGATGATTATATCTGTGGTTCATACGATCTCCAAAAGGGGGTATAGTCCCACTAAAAAGCACAAAGCTTTGTAACAGGCTCGAAACAGAGCCCTGACTAGATTGAGCCCTTCTTTTTAAGAAAAGAAGAAGAAGCAAAAACAGTATTTTGAAACCTAAAAAGTCCTGAAAAATATAGGCACGTACATATCGATGTGTAGTGTGTATATACATTTTCCCTCAATACTTCCTTCGTCCGAAAATACTTGTCATTAAAATAGATAAAAAAAGATGTATCTAAAACTAAAATACATCTAAATATATCCCTTTTTATACATTTTGATGACGAGTATTTTCGGACGGAGGAAGTACAATTTTTCTGTTGAGGCGTACACACAGAAAAAAGACAGGTGGATCAAAATAGTTACTTTTTGTGTAGCCTAATGTATATAAAACACATCTATGAGGAAAATTGGGATTTTCTTTTGAAATTTTAAATCTAATTTTTTACATTAAAAATGCTCCAATTTACGCCCTCTTGTTTGTTTACACTACATGAACTAGTAAACTGCACCTTTTTTCTAGAACAAGGATTGCCTATTTTTCCGCATTAGGAAAACATCATGAAATGTATAAAAAAGCATTCTCGACATTTATTTCCTTCCATGTGAATCATATTTGACAAGGCCTAACTCTCTAGAACATGGACTGTCTTATTTCTTTTTTATTGGAGAATCGGATTCTTTGTACGGAAAAATGATGCTTCTAGAACACTATGAGACAATAGAGTGGTGGTTCAATTAAGAGCCATGTGGCAAAGTCTTGTGAGATGAACACTTTCTCTAACGGATCATCTCTCAACCGTTCGATGGAGCATATCAAAGTTGTTGTACTACATAGTGGTATAGGTAGACAAGTCAGGAATTTCTTTGAAAGATTATATGGTTCAATCACTATCACAGAAACAAAGCAATTTTCTTCATAAAATCGTCTAAATGAACATTCTCCCTGTGACTTGCATGCAGAAGCAATGTGTAGATTTATCGATTTTACTCAATTTTTTAATCCTACAAATCAGATAAGCCTTACGGAAAACATTCTTAAGAGATAGCATCCTCCAAAATTTCCATGAGAACCCTTTGAAGCGAAGAAACCCTAATAAGTACTCCCTCCGTTCCAAATTACTCGTCGTGGTTAATTTGGGACGGAGGGAGTATGTGTGAAGCGCAAAGAACTGGACTGTAATGTTCCATACAACATGCCTAACATTTCTTTCTTTCTTCATAAATCCTACTCAATGAATCATTTGTTAATTATTTTGGAGTACGATCATTACAGGGTAATATTCCAGTCTAGTCAAGCAGAGCTGCCGCAGAAAAATCAGATGCCCAATGATTGCATCCCAACTTAAACCAGTCTAATGTATTTAGCAACAATTTTTGCATCCTGCTTGACGACTGTCAAAGGATAAATATAACGGTGCGACAAGGCCATTTTGATTGGTGTGGCCTTGTTGTAGGGCAAGATAGCTCTGTACCAGTGCATGTTCAAATGAACCACCACCGTGCATCACTTGGCAAACCTGCAGACAACAACAAAAATAAATATTCTACATTCTTCACGGAGGGAAATTTTAGTTTCTTTTTATTGACTACATGCTTGGCGAGGCATATTTTCGCGCACAACTGACCTGAGAAGCTGATCGTGGTTTGCTCTTAGGAAAGAATATGGCTCCCATAGTCCTGGTTAAATTTTTCATAACGATGTGCTTGGAGATGGGCTGACGGCCTTGTGTTGCTCAAAGCAAGTTCAACGTCTTCAGGTTTGAGAGGGCCAACCTCAGGCAGCTCTACACCACGAACGGTAATAACGAATATGTAATAAGTTTGATCAGATCGGCAAGAACAAGTCTAAAAACTTAGGCACTATTGTATTTCACAGGAAAGTACAAATGGTTTTAGGAAATCAAGAAATCAAAACTAACCTTCCTCTGGCACCAGCTCATCACTGGCCTCAAGAACTGACATGAGACGTCTCAGTGGCTGCATGGCAGCTTCTTTGCACACGAGACGGATGTCTGAACCGGAGTACCCTTCAGTCTTTTCGACCAGGATATCATATGGGACCTCTAGATTTGAGGTCATTGCTGGCAAAAGTTCCTTAAACATGGCCTGCCTTGCTTCAGCTTCAGGAAGTGGTACAAGAATCTGATGAACGATGCCAAAAAATTGTGCAGTTAATTTATCAAATATATGGCATGGAATGTTTCCTACATATCACACCTGCTTTCTTTTTACAATAAAGGCCTCACTCATACAAGCATGTCTTCCTACTTTGATCTGTCCATGATATGCAGTTGCAAATCAAATGTTTTGTAGTAATGGGTTTGGGTATAGATAAACTATAAATAAGAAAAATGTTGATTTTAGTCTTACCGCCCAGTAAAGAAACAATATTATATGCTAGCATGCTCTCTTCTACTCCCTCCGTTCCCAAATACTTGTCTTTTTAGGCATTTCAAATGGACTCAACATACAGATGTATGTAGACATATTTTAAAATGTAGATTCACTCATTTTGCGTCGTATGTAGTCACTTGTTGAAATCTCTAAAAAGACAAGTATTTAGGAACGGAGGGAGTAATATTTACCACTAATCGAATACTTTGGATACATCTCAAGCATCCATTTCCATAAGAGTAAGATATGCTCTTCATTTGGAATTCAAATAAAAGCTTCTTCAGGTCTGACATATAAGCCCCACAAAAGAATATTCAACCAAAGCATGACTGAAATGATTGGTATTAACAAACATATATCTGTCGAGTTCAAAATTCAACTTGGTTTAAACAATTTTGGCAATGAGATTGGGAGCATGTCCTTCTTTGTTTGGAAAAACAACTTGGAATAAAAACACAGCACTGGCCATACCCGCTTCTCAAGCCGACGGAGCATAGCTGCATCTAATTCCCATGGTAGATTTGTTGCTGCAAGCACAAATACTAAGTCGTTCGTTTTTGTCAAGCCATCCATCTGCAGTAAAAATTGGTGTAAATATGACTAAACTGAAATCAGAAGCTCAGCACGCTTCAAGCTAGGGCTTAGGAGATCATGTAGTAGGAAACAATGCATTAGAATACTAGCTTATTTATATTTGTGAACAAGTAGACACCTGAATAAGTAGCTCAGTCTTCAAGCGTCGACTAGCTTCATGCTCACTACGAGCTTCACCACGCTGACTAATAATAGCATCAATCTCATCAAGAAATATTGTTGATGGTGCATGATGTCTTGCAAGCTCAAAAAGAACTTTGACTAGCTTCTCAGAATCTCCTGCACTTGCACAAAAGAACATTCCATTAGTTATTCCTTCATCAAACAAACCTTAACTATGTTACACATAACAACATAAATATGATATGATAAATGACCACCTGAACAAATTACCTAATTGTGCAAAGCATGCCTAAATTACCGGTTGTTATGCAATTTAAGTAATTTAATCAAATAACTGTATGCAGGACAGAGGGAAGTTAACAACACACACCACGCCATTTGCTGACAATTGATGAAGCCGAGATGTTGAAGAATGTAGTATTGCACTCAGTAGCAACTGCTTTTGCCAGCATTGTCTGAAAATAGAAAAGAGCACTACTTTAAATAGGCAACACAAGGAATTCTTAATAGCCAAAAAAATGGTTGAAAAGAAAAGGAAAACCATAGAACTATAACATGTATACAAATGACCCCCCCACCCACCCCACAAAGAAAAGAAAAACTACACGTGTCTAATGCCAAATGGCACTCGCAAGCACTTTTTTTTGAAAAGGAGGATGACCCCTGGCCTCTGCATCAGGACGATGCATGAAGCCATTTTATTAATTATCACCAAGACTTTACAAAGTAATATCTGTCGCTACTCCTATCAACTTGATGAAGGGGTGCAGATTGTCTGAGCCGCATACCCAAACCTCACACCAAAGCCCAACATCTAAAGCCGGAGGCCCCAACCAAGCCACATTGCCGGGTCTGGGGCACAAACCGGTCCGACGCACTCTCAGTGGTCACCGCATGCGCACGCCACAGAGGCCGCCACAACCGTCTTCCACCGATCAATCTTCAGAGCAGATACTGATGCATCGACCTTGCCAGGCCTGACGTTGACGCCACCATGACACCAGACAACGCCACCTCCGTACACGCGTCCATCATCACACATCCGTCGCCGAGACCCTGCTGCGCCACGCCGCCGAGACTCCACATCGTCGATGCGTCACATGAAACGCCGCTCCACCGCTGAAACCGTCCACTGGTCCCTCGAGCCAATGCACACCTCCAAGAATGACGCCCCCAAGGGGGGAACAACACAAGAGCGTCGCCGTCATCTTATTGATCGACCGATCTAGGGTTTTCCCTGGAAGTAGCAGATAGAGGTCTAGAGCTTCTCCACGACGATGCCTTCAAGAAGGGGGCGACACAGAAGAACGCCGCCATCGCCGGCCTTGGCAACTAGCCGAGAGCAAGGTTTTCACCCGGATCTACTCGATGAACCTCCATCCAGCATCGTGTGCGCCAGATTGCCACCTTCAAAGATCTCGACTATGGCCAAAGCGAGCTAGACCCATCAGACGCACGC